CAGGTCCAACCACAGGCCCATCCCACAGGTCCAATCACAGGTCCATACACAGGTCCGCCCACAGGTCCATCCACAGGTCCAACCAAAGGTCCATCCACAGGTCCAACCACAAGTCCAACCACAGGTCAATCCACAGGTCCATCCACAAGTCCATCCACAGGTCCATCCACAGGTCCATCCACAGGTCCAATCACAGGTCTAATCACAGGTCCATCCACAGGTCCAGTCACAGATCCATCCACAGGTCCAACCACAGGTCCAATCACAGGTCCATCCACAGGTCCACCCACAGGTCCATCCACAGGTCCAACCACAGGTCCAACCACAGGCCCATCCACAGGTCCAATCACAGGTCCATACACAGGTCCGCCCACAGGTCCATCCACAGGTCCAACCAAAGGTCCATCCACAGGTCCAACCACAAGTCCAACCACAGGTCAATCCACAGGTCCATCCAGTCCAGCATGTGCGATTTAGTGTCCTCTAAGCATATACTCACCCCTGTACGTTGTGCTCAACAAAGAAACCACCTAGCAGTGCTTTTAAGTTGTCTAAGTTCCCGGCTCATACCACAACCTGGGGAAGTGAAGCCCTCATTTTTGCTGCTCTAACCGTAAAGAACCTCCTATGCAGTTTCAGATAAAACCTCTTTTGCTCCAACTTCTAATTCTGGCTGTATGTCCTCACTGGGGACCTAAGACTGAGCAAGTAGTTACCCCCCTTGTAGTCATCATTGATTAATTTGTAGATGGTAATCATGACTCCTCCTAATCGTCTTTTCTTTACGGTGAATAAATGCAATTTAATCGATCGTTCCTCGCAGCTGAGGTCCTCCAGCCCCCTGATTAATTTTGTTACCCATTTCTGAACTTTTTCCAATTTAAGGACCACCTTCTTGTAGATTGGTGACCAGAGCTACTCTGTATACTCAAGCTGAGGCCAAACCATTACGCTTCATAAAAGGGCAAAAGTACTGCTTTATCCTGTAGATCACGGGTGTCAAACTGGTGGCCCTCCAGCTGTTGCCAAACTACAAGTCCCATGAGGCATTGCAAGATTGACAGTTCTAAGAATGACTCCCAAAGGCAGAGGCATGATGGAACTTGTAGTTTCGCAAAGGCTGGAGGGCCTCCAGTTTGACACCCCTACTGTAGATCTATTCTATTTTAATGCATGAGAGTATTCTGTTTGCTTCATTAGCAGTGACCTGGCCTTGCATGTTACTTCTCAGTCTGTGGTCTACAAGGACCCCAATTCTTTCTTCATCACCAATTCCCCAGTGTTATAAGGTCTCCTAGTCACCATATGACCCACCATGATGCCACTTCCTGAAGTGATCCAATGATGTAGTCTAGGCTCTCTGCCAGCTGGTCTTGGTGTTACCTCTCATTGTGATGCTACCATGCCCCCCCGCTGGAATCTTAAGGACCAGTGAAGATCCTGACAATGGACACCCAATGGAAGTGATAATGTCATTAGGTTACAATGTGGGCACCCAAAAAAAATGACCCTCTCACCATGCCGTCAAAAAAAGAGGGAAAACTCCCAACCTATCACATGTTCATGGATTTAGGTATATATTTTGGCCATTATATTTTTTTTTCTGCAGAAATGATATGGGAAGTATTTTTGGGGTTATTCCCTGGCCAGTCTTCAGCTTTGAAGTTTATCTGAGTGCCTCAGATTACAGGACCACTTGCCCTGAAGAAGCACAACTGCTCCCATAAGAAATAGTCATAGGTAGAGCCAACCTACCTTACAGTTGTTATTAAGATAGAATACACTAAGATAGAATGCGCTATCTACAGGTACTGGGTTTAGTAACATTTCCCATGAAGTAGACTCATCTACCCATCAATTTCTTAGACCTTAACCTTCCCATGAAGTAGACTCATCCACCTATCAATTTCTTGGACCTTAACCTTCCAATGAAGTAGACTTATCCACCTATCAATTTCTTGGACCTTAACCTTCCCATGAAGTAGACTCATCTACCCATCAATCACTTAGACCTTAACCTTCCCGTGAAGTAGACTCATCCACCTATCAATCTCTTGGACCTTAACCTTCCCATGAAATAGACTTGTCCACCTATCAATCATTTGGACCTTAACCTTCCCATGAAGTAGACTCATCCACCTATCAATTTCTTGGACCATAACCTTCCCATGAAGTAGACTCATCTACCCATCAATCACTTAGACCTTAACCTTCCCATGAAGTAGACTCATCTACCCATCAATCACTTAGACCTTAACCTTCCCATGAAGTAGACTCATCCACCTATCAATTTCTTGGACCTTAACCTTCCCATGAAGTAGACTTATCCACTTATCAATTTCTTGGACCTTAACCTTCCCATGAAGTAGACTCAACCACCCATCAATCACTTAGACCTTAACCTTCCCGTGAAGTAAACTCATCCACCTATCAATCTCTTGGACCTTAACCTTCCCATGAAGTAGACTTGTCCACCTATCAATCATTTGGACCTTAACCTTCCCATGAAGTAGACTCATCCACCTATCAATTTCTTGGACCTTAACCTTCCCATGAAGTAGACTTGTCCACCTATCAATCATTTGGACCTTAACCTTCCCATGAAGTAGACTCATCCACTTATCAATTTCTTGGACCTTAACCTTCCCATGGAGTAGACTCATCCACCTATCAATCATTTGGACCTTAACCTTCCTATGAAGTAGACTCATCCACCTATCAATCTCTTGGACCTTAACCTTCCCATGAAGTAGACTTGTCCACCTATCAATCATTTGGACCTTAACCTTCCCATGAAGTAGACTCATCCACCTATCAATTTCTTGGACCTTAACCTTCCCATGGAGTAGACTCATCCACCTATCAATCATTTGGACCTTAACCTTCCCATGACGTTGACTCATCCACCTATCAATCACTTGGACCTTAACTTTCCCAAGAAGTAGACTCATCCACCTAACAATAATTTGGACCTTACCCTTCCCGTGAAGTAGACTCATCTACCTATAAATCACGTGGACCTGACACCTTCACCACCTCTCACTTGTGATTACAGATTCACATGGAAGGGAGATGATGCAATGGTCTTCTCCAGTTCCGCCAGCCACATACAGACTGCTGATGACTTGCACAGATCCTGATGGACAATGGCTGGTGAGTCAGGGGATGAAGGGGAGGCCGTCCACCAACCTTCACATTGTTCCTGGAGCTCTCCCGGATGTCAGTTGACAGTTGGAGAATGAAGTGACACAGATAAAGGCACCACCATTAACCTGAACAAAGGAAAAGCGGATTGTATTTCACATATAAAAGGGGGGGGGGGGGTGAGAGTCAATGAAGAGGAGGCCATGGGGCATGTTTCTCTTCATGTTATTTACAATATCTGCCTCCACACGCTTTACAGTCCGGAGGAAGACTAATAGCTTTATCATCTCCAGCAATCCGCCTGCAGCACATGGGATCCGAGACATATAGAGACTGGAGGAAATCAGTACAAAGCAGGAGAAGTGCTGACTCACCCCCAGGATACTGACTGCACTCCAAAGAGGAATGCTTTATAATACGGACTGAACAGATGTTCTGCTGAAAAGGAAAAAATCCCTTATAGTGGTTATGATGGCCAATATCCCCTCCATTAAATGTTGGTGCATCCTGTCTGTGGTCCCAGCGATGGTCCTAGCGATGGTCCTAGCGATGGTCCCAGCGATGGTCCTGGTGCATTATGGGCCAATTCATAGTTGTCATACGAGGCCAGAAATCCCATTCATTGCTGAGTGGCCACTTCACCCCTATGTACTGCTTTCCTTTTATTTCACACGTAACTCCAGCCAGGGCCACCTTCTCCCACCTAAAGTTACCCCACGCCACCTTCCCCCACCTAAGGTTACCCCACGCCACCTTCCCCCACCTAAAGTTACCCCACGCCACCTTCCCCCACCTAAGGTTACCCCACGCCACCTTCTCCCACCTAAAGTTACCCCACGCCACCTTCTCCCACCTAAAGTTACCCCACGCCACCTTCTCCCACCTAAGGTTTTCCCCACGCCACCTTCCCCCACCTAAGGTTACCCCACGCCACCTTCCCCCACCTAAGGTTACCCCACGCCACCTTCCCCCACCTAAGGTTTTCCCACGCCACCTTCTCCCAACTAAGGTTACCCCACGCCACCTTCTCCCACCTAAGGTTACCCCACGCCACCTTCCCCCACCTAAGGTTACCCCACGCCACCTTCCCCCACCTAAAGTTACCCCACGCCACCTTCCCCCACCTAAGGTTACCCCCACGCCACCTTCCCCCACCTAAAGTTACCCCACGCCACCTTCCCCCACCTAAGGTTACCCCACGCCACCTTCCCCCACCTAAAGTTACCCCACGCCACCTTCCCCCACCTAAGGTTACCCCACGCCACCTTCCCCCACCTAAGGTTACCCCACGCCACCTTCCCCCACCTAAAGTTACCCCACGCCACCTTCTCCCACCAAAGGTTACCCCACGCCACCTTCTCCCACCTAAGGTTACCCCACGCCACCTTCCCCCACCTAAGGTTACCCCACGCCACCTTCCCCCACCTAAAGTAACCCCACGCCACCTTCCCCCACCTAAGGTTACCCCACGCCACCTTCCCCCACCTAAGGTTACCCCACGCCACCTTCCCCCACCTAAAGTTACCCCACGCCACCTTCTCCCACCAAAGGTTACCCCACGCCACCTTCTCCCACCTAAGGTTACCCCACGCCACCTTCCCCCACCTAAGGTTACCCCACGCCACCTTCCCCCACCTAAAGTAACCCCACGCCACCTTCCCCCACCTAAGGTTACCCCACGCCACCTTCTCCCACCTAAGGTTACCCCACGCCACCTTCTCCTACCTAAGGTTACCCCACGCCACCTTCTCCCACCTAAGGTTACCCTATGCCCAGGGGCGGACTGACCATTTGGAAACTCGAGCACTGCCCGAAGGCCCGGGGTCAGTAGGGGCCCCATGAGATGCCCCTGGTACCTTTTTCATAGGCTTTTTTGAGTTTGCGCAAGGACACAGGGGCCCCATGATCCCCTATTGCCCGGGGGCCCCATGAGTTGTCAGTCCGCCCCTGCCCACGCCACCTCCCACTATGGTTACCCCGCGCAACCTTCCCCCACCTAAGATTAATCCGCGCAACCTTCTCCCACCTAAGGTTACCCCACGCCACCTTCCCCCACCTAAGGTTACCCCACGCCACCTTCTCCCACCTAAGGTTACCCCACGCCACCTTCCCCCACCTAAGGTTACCCCACGCCACCTTCCCCCACCTAAAGTAATCCCACGCCACCTTCCCCCACCTAAGGTTACCCCACGCCACCTTCGCCCTCAGCTAATCATCTCATCATAGTTTATTTTAAAAAAAACTACATTTAAAGTCCCAAATACTGACTTAAATCCATGGTCATGTGATGCCCTCGATCCCCCTGTCCTTTACCTCCTGAGCAGCGATGGATCACTCCTGCACCAACAGGGTCATGTGACAAGGAACTCAGGTATGTGATAGAAGGCAGGGGTTCTTATCTTTGCCCAAAGTTGGTGGTAAACCTCTAAAAAGGAAAATGAACAAAGCATATCCTTCTATAGTGTGTACTTGCCTCAAACCAATGCACTTAGTGTGATTCATGGCTGCTGTCTCTATCTCTTGCTATGTGCATGAGCCACTTCTGGCAGTCTATGCCAACACTGCTAGTGAGACAGCCATGAACCCCTCCAGCACACAGAAGGTGATTGACAACCTCAGCAGTGTATGTTTTCCTATGAGACTGTGCAGGGAGTGTGTGTCCATTCTCTCCACTTAGATCTCAGATTACTCTCAACTCTCTGATCTATGCCGTGCAGTGTGTGACATCAGATTCCTGCCCCTGCCTGCTGAAGCTCATAAATGTTGTGCAAATTCTGAACGGATGTAGAGAAGAGAAGGCTGCAGATATACAGGTACAACTTATGTCGGAGAGTTTGTTTCATCTCCGTGTATCACCGGAGGCCAGTCATTTCAGTGGGTGTAGGCACCGGGTGTGTAAGCCACCTTGGGGGTCCTCCTCCGCTGCCAGGGGTAAAGGGCAGGGGTGTATGTACCACAAGGCAAACAAGGCATTTGCCTAGGGCGGCATTTTTTAGGGGGGGCATCACTGCCCCTCAGAAGAAGGGACATATGCAGTATGGGGACCAGGTGGGATCTGAGAGAGCCTACGGGCTGCTTGATGGTGTATGCAGAGCCCAACTGTCGTTCCCGGGAATGTCCGGAGCTGTAAAGGTGAGTATCTTTGTATCTGCTGCCAAGGGGGGGTGAGTCTTAGGGAGGGGCTCTCTTGGGTGGGGGGGATGATGGGGCAGGGGTGTTGGTCACTGTCAGGCTCTCTCCGTGTGGGGAGGGGATCTGGTGTTGGTCGGTGTCAGGATCTCTACGCCGGGGAGGAGGGGCATTCGATATTTGTGCTTCCTAGGGCAGCACTGGTAAAGGGATGCTAAATGTATAAACTGGTGGTCCTGCTTTCTTTGGCCCTATGTGAAAAAGTAATTGCCCCCCTTAAACCGAATAACTGGTTGCTGAAAGATGCTGAAAAAAACTCATGCAAAAACGCAAAGAAACGTGAAAAAATCTCTCGTTTTTATTGCAGCATTCTGCAGCTAACGCTGCTGGTGTATTCTATGGTCCCGCGTCCACGAGGCGCGATGCTGAACATGGCGGGATTTTTGTGTAATCCGCCTTTGGAGATTCCAGAGAGACAGAAATATAAATACTGTATCACCGATCACTAATCTCAGCAAAACACCCGTCACATCCTGGAAACAACCCCTGAAAGTGCAAATCATCACAGAAAAACCTCAAATGGATTTCCTCGTAACATAAACCCCACAACTAAATCTAAAACAATTACAAAGTGTCAGATTCCAAAACATAAAGTCCAATCTTCAAAATATATGGATATAAAATGCCTCAAAATATAAAGTCACTGCAACAAAAAGAAGTGTCCAAAGTCCAACTTATCACCTCCTTTAGTGCTGACCCCTCCACTGGCTCCTAACCCCTCACCTACCGGCACTTCTACCCCCTTCCTGCCTACCGGCACTTCTACCCCCTTCCTGCCTATCGGGCACTTCTACCCCCTTCCTGCCTACAGGACACTGTCACCCCCTTCCTACCTACCGAGCACTATCCCCCCTTCCTGCCTACTCGGCACTTCTACACCCTTCCTGCCTACTGGACACTGTCACCCCCTTCCTACCTACCGGGCACTGTCCCCCCCTTCCTGCCTAACGGGCACTTCTACCCCCTTCCTGCCTACCGGGCACTTCTACCCCCTTCCTGCCTACAGGACACTTCTACCCCCTTCCTGCCCACCGGGCACTTCTACCCCCTTCCTGCCTACCGGGCACTTCTACCCCCTTCCTGCCTACCGGGCGCTTCTACCCCCTTCCTGCCTACAGGGCACTTCTACCCCCTTCCTGCCCACCGGGCACTTCTACCCCCTTCCTGCCTACCGGGCACTTCTACCCCCTTCCTGCCTACCGGGCACTTCTACCCCCTTCCTGCCTACAGGGCACTTCTACCCCCTTCCTGCCTACAGGACACTTCTACCCCCTTCCTGCCTACAGGGCACTTCTACCCCCTTCCTGCCTACCGGGCACTTCTACCCCCTTCCTGCCTACCGGGCACTTCTACCCCCTTCCTGCCTATCGGGCACTTCTACCCCCTTCCTGCCTACAGGACACTGTCACCCCCTTCCTGCCTACTCGGCACTTCTACCCCCTTCCTGCCTACTGGACACTGTCACCCCCTTCCTACCTACCGGGCACTATCCCCCCCTTCCTGCCTACTTGGCACTTCTACCCCCTTCCTGCCTACTGGACACTGTCACCCCCTTCCTACCTACCGGGCACTGTCCCCCCCTTCCTGCCTACCGGGCACTTCTACCCCTTCCTGCCTACCGGGCACTTCTACCCCCTTCCTGCCTACAGGACACTTCTACCCCCTTCCTGCCCACCGGGCACTTCTACCCCCTTCCTGCCTACCGGGCACTTCTACCCCCTTCCTGCCCACCAGGCACTTCTACCCCTTCCTGCCTACCCGGCACTTCTATCCCCTTCCTGCCTACAGGACACTTCTACCCCCTTCCTGCCTACAGGACACTTCTACCCCCTTCCTGCCTACAGGGCACTTCTACCCCCTTCCTGCCTACCAGGCACTTCTACCCCCTTCCTGCCTACAGGACACTTCTACCCCCTTCCTGCCTACCGGGCACTTCTACCCCCTTCCTGCCTACCGGGCACTGTCCCCCCCTTCCTGCCTTCTCGGCACTTCTACCCCCTTCCTGCCTACTGGACACTGTCACCCCCTTCCTGCCTACTGGGCACTGTCCCCCCTTCCTGCCTACCGGGCACTTCTACCCCCTTCCTGCCTACCGGGCACTTCTACCCCCTTCCTGCCTACAGGACACTTCTACCCCCTTCCTGCCTACAGGGCACTTTTACCCCCTTCCTGCCTACCGGGCACTTCTACCCCCTTCCTGCCTACAGGACACTTCTACCCCCTTCCTGCCTACAGGGCACTTCTACCCCCTTCCTGCCTACCGGGCACTTCTACCCCCCTTCCTGCCTACCCGGCACTGTCCCCCCTTCCTGCCTACTCGGCACTTCTACCCCCTTCCTGCCTACCGGACACTGTCACCCCCTTCTGCCTACCGGGCACTGTCCCCCCATTCCTGCCTACCGGGCACTTCTACCCCCTTCCTGCCTACCGGGCACTTCTACCCCCTTCCTGCCCACCGGGCACTTCTACCCCCTTCCTGCCTACCCGGCACTTCTACCCCCTTCCTGCCTACAGGACACTTCTACCCCCTTCCTGCCTACCGGGCACTTCTACCCCCTTCCTGCCTACAGGACACTTCTACCCCTTCCTGCCTACCAGGCACTTCTACCCCCTCCCTGCCTACAGGGCACTTCTATCCCCTTCCTGCCTACCGGGCACTTCTACCCCCTTCCTGCCTACCAGGCACTGTCCCCCCCTTCCTGCCTACTCGGCACTTCTACCCCCTTCCTGCCTACAGGGCACTGTCACCCCCCCTTCCTGCCTACCTGGCACTGTCACCCCCTTCCTGCCTACCGGGCACTTCTACCCCCTTCCTGCCTACCGGGCACTGTCACCCCCTTCCTGCCTACCGGGCACTTCTACCCCCTTCCCGCCTACAGGACACTTCTACCCCCTTCCTGCCTACAGGACACTTCTACCCCCTTCCTGCCTACCGGGCACTGTCACCCCCTTCCTGCCCGCCGGACACTTCTACCCCCTTCCTGCCTACCAGGCACTTCTACCCCCTTCCTGCCTACAGGACACTTCTACCCCCTTCCTGCCTACCGGGCACTTCTACTCCCTTCCTGCCTACAGGACACTTCTACCCCCTTCCTGCCTACCGGGCACTTCTACCCCCTTCCCGCCTACAGGACACTTCTACCCCCTTCCTGCCTACCGGGCACTTCTACTCCCTTCCTGCCTACAGGGCACTTCTACCCCCTTCCTGTCTACAGGACACTTCTACCCCCTTCATGCCCACTGGGCACTTCTACCCCCTTCCTGCCTACAGGGCACTTCTACCCCCTTCTTTACCAGGCCAGTTTTCAGCTTTCAGCGCTGTCGCACTTTGATTGACAATTGCGCGGTTATGCAAGATTGTACCCATATGAAATTTTTATCATTTTTTTTCTCATAAATAGAGCTTTCTTTTGGTGGTATTTCCTCCCCGCTGGGGGTTTTACTTTTTGCACTATAAACAAAAAAAAGAGCAAACAAAATTGAAAAAAAAAAAAAAGTTTCTTTGTTTCTATTATAAAATTTTGCAAACAGGTAATTTTTCTCCTTCACTGATGTGCGTTGATGAGGCTGCACTGATGGGCACTGATAGGCAGCACTGAAGGGCACTGATAGGCAGCACTAATGAGGTGGCATGGATAGGCGTTGGGCACTGATAGGTGGCACTGATGATGGGTACTGATAGACAGCACTGATAGGTGGCACTGACTGGCATCACTGCTGGGCACCGACTGGCGGCACTACTAGTTATTGACTTGCGGCACTGTTAGGCATTGACTGGCGCAACTGCTGGGCACTGACTGGTGGCAATGACTGGCAGCACTGCTGGGCACTGGTGGGTGGCACTGGTGGGCACAGGTGGGTGGCACTGCTGGGCACAAGTGGGCAGAACTGGTGGGTGGCACTGCTGGGCACCGATCATCAGGGCACTGATCATCAGTGCCGGATGATCGGTGCCAATCCCTGCTCTAACAACTGACGGTTCTCGGCAGTACTTTCCTCACGATCTGACAGCGTGAGGAAAGTGCAGCCGAGAACCGGCAATTGCATTTCCCTGTGATCAGCGTGTCATTGGACAAGGCTGATCACATGGTAAAAGGCCGCTGTGATTGGCGGAGATCGCCGGGTGCGCGCTCCCAGGGGCGCACAGGAGAGCGCGTTCTGGGAGGACGTCATATGACCAAGGGCGGACTGAGAACTCATGGGGCCCCCGGGCAATAGGAGATCATGGGGCCCCTGTGTCCTTGCCCAAACTCAAAAAAGCCTATGAAAAAGGTACCAGGGGCATCTCATGGGGACCCCTACTGACCCCGGGCCCTCGGGCAGCGCCCGAGTTTCCAAATGATCAGTCCGCCCCTGTATATGACTCCTCCCAGAACTGGCCGGCCGCAGTGTTCACTATTCTGCACTATATATTTTTGGATGAATCTGTTGGAAGGGATGATGTCATTTTCATGATTGGTTTATTAAGGTAATTCACTATTTTGGGTTTTCTTTCTTTGAGATGCTTTCTGTCCTTTAAGAGCCAGTGGAGGGGCTCAGCACTAAAGGATCTGATAAGTTGGACTTTGGACACTTCTTTTTGTTGCAGTGACTTTATTTTTTGAGGAATTTTATATCCATATATTTTGAAGATTGGACTTTATGTTTTGGAATCTGACACTTTGTAATTATTGTAGATTTAGTAGTGGGGTTCATGTTACGAGGAAATACATTTTAGGTATTTATGAGATGATTCCAGAGAGATGTCACTTTGCAACATTTGAATAAAGTTTGTACAAAACAATCAGTAAACAGTTTGGGCCGTTTATGGCGCTGTGGCAGTGCTGTCTTCACACCGCACATCAATGGCTTCATTCTAACGCCGCTGTGGTGTGAATGGCCCTAAAACTGAAAATCATTATTTTTCCAAAAAAAAATAATCACAATTTTCCTTTCAGAATGGAAATGAAGACGGAAATCCGAAGTATTCGGTCTGTTTATCGGGGGAGAATGATTTTCACTTTGATTGAACAATGAATGGGAAGCCGATGGTGGGGTTAATGATCTGAATGGCAGAAAACAAAGCCAGCGCATTCAGAGAACTCGATGACCTCCGGTGGTCGGCCATCTTCACGTAGAGGTCATGGAGGGATTGGATCTGGCAGAAGCTGCTGGGGGCGCGCAGTCACACCCCATGTGCTCAATTATTTACACGGCAAAGTCACCCAGTAACAATTGTTAATCATTGATGACCATGGATGAACTCACTGCCTCCGAAAATCCCAACGATCCATCTGGAGGCTCCAACATCGGGAGTGACCACTGCGAGGCCGACATGCTAACAGGATTTCACTGCAACTTCGTTTTTACAGCACTGCTTCATTTACTGCGCGACTTTTATTATTATACGGCATTTATATGGCACCAACAGTGTGCGCAGCGCTGTACAAAATGAAGGCAGACAGGACAGTTACAATATAATTTGGTACAAGAGGAAACAGAGGGCCCTGATCCTGGGAGCTTACAATCTAGGAGGAGGGGCTGAGTGATACAGAAGGTAATAGCTGTGGGGGGGGAGGGGCTGATGGAGGAAATAAATGGCGGTTTGCTAGGTAGAAGCAGGATAGACTTTAAAGAAAAAGGTTTTCAGGGATTGTCTAAAGGGTGGATAGATTAGGAGACAGCCGGACAGATTGGGGTAGGGAGTTCCATAGGATGGGAGAAGCTTGGGAGAAGTCCTGGAGGCGAGCATGGGAGGAGGTGACATGGGAACTAGAGAGCAGGAGGTCTTGGGAGGTTTGGTTGATATCTTGAGATAAGATTGGTGGTGTACCTGGGGGTAGAGTTGTGGATAGCTTTGTAAGTTGTTAGTATTTTGAATTTTATTCATTGGGTGAGTGGAGGTCAGTGAAGGGATTGGCAGAGAGGGGGTGGAGGACACTGAGTGGAGGTCAGTGAAGGGATTGGCAGAGAGGGGTGGAGGACACTGAGTGGAGGTCAGTGAAGGGATTGGCAGAGAGGGGTGGAGGACACTGAGTGGAGGCCAGTGGAGGGATTGGCAGAGAGGGGTGGAGGACACTGAATGGAGGTCAGTGAAGGGATTGGCAGAGAGGGGTGGAGGACACTGAGTGGAGGCCAGTGGAGGGATTGGCAGTGAGGGGTGGAGGACACTGAATGGAGGCCAGTGGAGGAATTGGCAGAGAGGGGTGGAGGACACTGAATGGAGGCCAGTGGAGGGATTGGCAGAGGGGGGTGGAGGGACACTGAATGGAGGCCAGTGGAGGGATTGGCAGAGGGGGTGGGGAGGACACTGAGTGGAGGCCAGTGGAGGGATTGGCGGAGGGGGGTGGAGGACACTGAGTGGAGGCCAGTGGAGGGATTGGCGGAGGGGGGTGGAGGACACTGAGTGGAGGCCAGTGGAGGGATTGGCAGAGGGGGGGTGGAGGACACTGAGTGGAGGCCAGTGGAGGGATTGGCGGAGAGGGGTGGAGGACACATTAGTGGAGGCCAGTGGAGGGATTGGCAGAGAGGGTTAGCAGACACTGAACGGTTGGTAAGGTGGATGACCCTGGCAGCAGTATTCATGATGGACTGGAGGGGGTGTGGCCTATGTTAAGGTCATCCAATGAGGAGGGAGTTGCAGTAGTCAAGGTGAGAGATTACCATTAGGGGGTTCCTCATAGCACCCCGGCATGCGGGGGATGGGTTGATAGTGGTGCTACTGATCCTGACCGAGAAATCAGGGAAGAGGCATGTGTGGGGGGGGGGGGGGGAGGTAATATATTATGAGCTCAGTTTTGGATAGATTGAGTTGTAGGGAAGTTGTTGTGTGACATCCAGTCTGACATGTCTGTTAGTAAATCGGTGATACAGGAGGAAACTGATGGGGTGAACTGAGGGAGTAGAGAGATAGATTTGTGTGTCATCAGCATAGAAATGGTATTGGAGACATGGGAAGCTATCAGCTGACCCAAGGAAGAAGTGTAGATGGAGAATAGGAGAGGTCCAAGGACAGAGAACCTTAGGGGGACCCCGGCAGTAAGAGGAGGAGGAGAGGTCCCAAGGACAGAACCTTAGGGGGACCCCGGCAGTAAGAGGAGGAGGAGAGGTCCAAGGACAGAACCTTAGGGGGACCCGGCCGGCAGTAAGAGGAGGAGGAGAGGTCAAGGACAGAACCTTAGGGGGACCCTGGCAGTAAGAGGAGGAGGAGAGGTCCAAGGACAGAACCTTGGGGGACCCCGACAGTAAGAGGAGGAGGAGAGGTCCAAGGACAGAACCTTAGGGGGACCCTGGCAGTAAGAGGAGGAGGAGAGGTCCAAGGACAGACCCTTGGGGGACCCGACAGTAAGAGGAGGAGGAGAGGTCCAAGGACAGGAACCTTAGGGGGACCCCGACAGTAAGAGGAGGAGGAGAGGTCCAAGGACAGAACCTTGGGGGACCATGACCGTAAGAGGAGGAGGAGAGGTCCAAGGACAGAACCTTAGGGGGACCCTGACAGTAAGAGGAGGAGGAGGTAAGGACATAACCTTAGGAAGACCATGACCGTAAGAGGAGGGAGGAGAGGTCCAAGGACAGAACCTTAGGGGGACCCCGACAGTAAGAGGAGGAGGAGAGGTCCAAGGACAGAACCTTAGGGGGACCCTGACAGTAAGAGGAGAGGAGAGGTCCAAGGACAGAACCTTAGGGGGACCCTGACAGTAAGAGGAGGAGGAGAGGTCCAAGGACAGAACCGTAGGGGGGACCCCGACAGTAAGAGGAGGAGAAGAGGTCCAAGGACAGAACCTTAGGGGGACCCCGACAGTAAGAGGAGGAGGAGAGGTCCAAGGACAGAACCTTTGGGGGACCTGACAGTAAGAGGAGGAGGAGAGGTCCAAGGACAGAACCTTAGGGGGACCCTGATAGTAAGAGGAGGAGGAGAGGTCCAAGGACAGAACCTTAGGGGGACCCTGACAGTAAGAGGAGGAGGAGAGGTCCAAGGACAGAACCTTAGGGGGAACCTGACAGTAAGAGGAGGAGGAGAGAGGTCCAAGGACAGAACCTTAGGGGGACCCCCGACAGTAAGAGGAGGAGGAGAGGTCCAAGGACAGAACCTTAGGGGGGACCCCGACAGTAAGAGGAGGAGGAGAGGTCCAAGGACAGAACCTTAGGGGGACCCCGACAGTAAGAGGAGGAGGAGAGGTCCAAGGACAGAACCTTAGGGGGACCCCTGACAGTAAGAGGAGGAGGAGAGGTCCAAGGACAGAACCTTAGGGGGACCCCGGCAGTAAGAGGAGGAGGAGAGGTCCAAGGACAGAACCTTGGGGGACCCCGACAGTAAGAGGAGGAGGAGAGGTCCAAGGACAGAACCTTAGGGGGACCCCGACAGTAAGAGGAGGAGGAGAGGTCCAAGGACAGAACCTTGGGGGACCATGACCGTAAGAGGAGGAGGAGAGGTCCAAGGACAGAACCTTAGGGGGACCCCGACAGTAAGAGGAGGAGAGGTAAGGACATAACCTTAGGGGGACCATGACAGTAAGAGGAGGAGGAGAGGTCCAAGGACAGAACCTTAGGGGGAACCCCGACAGTAAGAGGAGGAGGAGAGGTCCAAGGACAGAACCTTAGGGGGACCCTGACAGTAAGAGGAGGAGGAGAGGTCCAAGGACAGAACCTTAGGGGGACCCTGACAGTAAGAGGAGGAGGAGAGGTCCAAGGACAGAACCTTAGGGGGACCCCGACAGTAAGAGGAGGAGGAGAGGTCCAAGGACAGAACCTTAGGGGGACCCCGACAGTAAGAGGAGGAGGAGAGGTCCAAGGACAGAACCTTAGGGGGACCCTGACAGTAAGAGGAGGAGGAGAGGTCCAAGGACAGAACCTTAGGGGGACCCCTGATAGTAAGAGGAGGAGGGAGAGGTCCAAGGACAGAACCGTAGGGGGACCTGACAGTAAGAGGAGGAGGAGAGGTCCAAGGACAGAACCTTAGGGGGACCTGACAGTAAGAGGAGGAGGAGAGGTCCAAGGACAGAACCTTAGGGGGACCCCGACAGTAAGAGGAGGAGGAGAGGTCCAAGGACAGAACCTTAGGGGGACCCCGACAGTAAGAGGAGGAGGAGAGGTCCAAGAACAGAACCTTAGGGGGACCCCGACAGTAAAAGGAGGAGGAGAGGTCCAAGGACAGAACCTTAGGGGACCATGACTGTAAGAGGAGGAAGAGAGGTCCAAGGACAGAAACCCTTAGGGGGACCATGACAGTAAGAGGAGGAGGAGAGGTCCAAGGACAGAACCTTAGGGGGACCCGACTGTAAGAGGAGGAGGAGAGGTCCAAGGACAGAACCTTAGGGGGACCCCGACAGTAAGAGGAGGAGGAGAGGTCCAAGGACAGAACCTTAGGGGGACCCCGACAGTAAGAGGAGGAGGAGAGGTAAGGACAGAAACCTTAGGGGGACCATGACCGTAAGAGGAGGAGGAGAGGTCCAAGGACAGAACCTTAGGGGGACCATGACCGTAAGAGGAGGAGGAGAGGTCCAAGGACAGAACCTTAGGGGACCATGACAGTAAGAGGAGGAGGAGACAAGTCCAAGGACAGAACCTTGGGGGACCCATGTGTAGAGGAGGAGGAGAGGTCCAAGGACAGAACCTTAGGGGGACCCCGACAGTAAGAGGAGGAGAGAGGGTAAGGACAGAACCTTGGGGGACCATGACCGTAAGAGGAGGAGGAGAGGTCCAAGGACAGAACCTTGGGGGACCATGACAGTAAGAGGAGGAGGAGAGGTCCAAGGACAGAACCTAAGAGGAGGGGGGGGGGACCATGACAGTAAGAGGAGGAGGAGAGGTCCAAGGACAGACCTTAGGGGGACCATGACCAGTAAGAGGAGGAGGAGAGGTCCAAGGACAGAACCTTGGGGGACCATGACCGTAAGAGGAGGAGGAGAGGTCCAAGGACAGAACCTTAGGGGGAGACAGTAAGAGGAGGAGGAGAGGTGCAAGGACAGAACCTTAGGGGGACCATGACCGTAAGAGGAGGAGGAGAGGTGCAAGGAGAACCTTGGGGTCCAAGGACAGAACCTTGGGGGACCATGACCGTGGGGGACCAAGTAAGACGGAGGAGGAGAGGTCCAAGGACAGAACCTTGGGGGGACCATGACTGTAAGAGGTGGAGGAGAGGTCCAAGGACAGAACCTTGGGGGACCATGACATTAAGAGGAGGAGGAGAGGTCCAAGGACAGACCTTAGGGGGACCCTGACAGTAAGAGGAGGAGGAGAGGAGGTAAGGACAGAACCTTGGGGGACCATGACCATAAGAGGAGTAGTGGAGGAGGAAGTAGGGTTGTAAGTGACACTGAAGCGTGCGGTGAGATAGGTGAGATTCCAGCCAATGGAGAGTACAGTCACGGAGACCCAGTAAATAGAGTTTTTTGAGGAGGAGGGGGTGGCGGTCAGCTGTGTCATAGGCAGCAGAGAGGTCCAAGAGTACGAGTCCGGAATAGTGACCACTGGTCACTAAAGTTTCCCGTGTTTGCTGTTCCATGTTTTCGTTGTTATATATAACATGCACACATATGTAAGGTCTCCCTTTAGCTGCAAGACATACAGTTACTGCACAGGAGACCAGAGCAGTCAATCATCTGGGGGGTGTTTGGGGTGTCAGGGTGTCGGGGTGTTGGGGTGTCAGGGTGTTGGGGTGTCAGGGTGTTGGGGTGTCGGGGTGTTGGGGTGTCGGGGTGTGTCGGGGGTGTTGGGGTGTCAGGGTGTTGGGGTGTCGGGGTGTCAGGGTGTCGGGGTGTCAGGGTGTTGGGGTGTCGGGGTGTTGGGGTGTCGGGGTGTTGGGGTGTCAGGGTGTCGGAGTGTTGGGGTGTCAGGGTGTTGGGGTGTCAGGGTGTCGGGGTGTTGGGGTGTCGGGATGTTGGGGTGTCGGGGTCCAAACCCCTAGTTAGCATCCTTGGTAAGCAGCTGCTTATCTAAAGTGTAAAAGTGGCCACAGACACAAGAGACCATTCTGGTCAGATCACGTGACCCCGGGAGAGCCCCCCAGGACACACATTCTCAAGGGGGAAATCAGCAGATGAATAACCTCCTCTACAGACTATGGAGGTTCCGGTACTTTCAGTTATAGGGTGACAACGCTGGGTGACCACCATGTCATATGTTCTTCTGGTGGAATAGCCGTGGCCATGCCGCCGTTCATTGTATGAGATGTCCCACCCGTGTCATCATCAGCACATGGAGTACATGAGGCACACGCATGTAGACAAGAAGTGGCTACAAAGAGGCTGCGGAAGATGTAAAGAATAAATTTTTAAAAAGTGAAAAAACATGGCACTTGTTTACAATACTTGGTGCTTTAGCAAACTAGGGCAGATTGGACACACAGGGGGCAGGCGAGACACAAGGGAGAGATACAGGGGGCAGAGGAAAGACACAGGAACTGGGGGGGGGGGGACACAGTTGGCAGATGGAAGATACAGGGGACTGAGGGGAGATGCAGTGG